TGATGCGCCAGTTGTTGCACCACTGCTCAATCAAGGAGAGGTGAGATTGTAGGTTTAGAGATGCTATTTGAGGATCTGAGTGGGAGAATAGAATGGCAGTATCATCAGCAAATGTAGCTAGAAATGTATGGGGATTTGAAGGGATATCGGAAGTGAAGAGGATGTAGAGAACTGGGTCCAAGACACTGCCTTGTGGAACACCAGCCTCAACTGGATAGTAAGTGGAGAATTCGTTGTCACAACGGACTTGAAAGGAACGCTTTGAGAGGTAGGATTTGAGGACTAGGTATAAGGATTGGGGTAAATGGGTTTTGAGCTTGAAAAGCAAGCCATCGTGCCACACCCGGTCGAAAGCTTGCGCTACGTCCAGAAAGGCACTAGTGCAATAATGCTTGTTTTCAAGTGCAGAGGATCCACAACACGAAGGCCTTGTTGGACAGTGGAATGTCTTGAGCGGAATCCAAACTGATGAGAAGGGATGTTGTGGGATTCGATTATGGGTAGGATGCGTTTGAGAAGGATTTTCTAAAAGATTTTTGAGAGGATCGGGAGTAAGCTTATCGGTCTATAGGATGATGTGTTATTAACAGGTTTGCCTGGTTTTGGAAACAGGATGATTATGGAGTGTTTTCACACCAAAGGAAAGTTGGTGGTACGAAGGATGCAGTTGTATCGTGAATGAACTAAAGATCATACTTTTAATTTACATATATAAAAAAACTATGGTGTGTGCTTTAGATCATGCAATATAAGTGAAGACACCAGGGCGAGATTAATAATATGAAATATAAAATATAAATTATAGCTCATTATAAAGCGGACGAAATGCTGAAAATTTCTCTCACTTAAAGTGTGCAGGTTCGATTTTTAGTTTCTGAAATATTTTAATCCATACCCACCCTAAAACTCGTCATCATTTGGTTTTCGGCACTATTTTTTTTTTTCGCCTCTCAAACACGGCGTTGGGTCAAGATACAATTTTGAATTATAGTCCATTACAGAGATGATGAAATACTCAACAATTCCCTCGTTTACAATATGTAGATCCGAGTTTTAGGTTATGAGATATTTTAATCCATATCTTCAATAAAAGTCGTTATCATTTGGTTTTCAACACTATTTTCCCCTTTTTCCCTCTCTAACAAGGCGTCGCGTTAAGATACAATTCTGAACAATAGCTCGTTACAAAGGGGAAAAAATGATGAAAATACTTAAATTAATCTACTCCGAGTGTTACACATCGGAGTTCTGACTGTATTTAGTTAGTATTCACACTCCACAAAAAAAGTTATTTCTCTTCCTCTCTTATCTATATATGTATGTATACTTATGTATGTATATATATATATATATATATATATATATATATATATATATATATATATATATATATATATCATTAAATAATTAAATATGCAACCTGTAAATGCGGAACTTTTTCGCATTTTAGTATTCGCTGATGAACAAAACTCGTGGACGTCGAACCCATATACCTCATGTTGAGGGATTACTGAATTTCCGAAAACGGCTTCTCCCAGAAATTTTATTCTCATACGAAACTTTTGAATTTGCAATATATTAACCAATAAAAATTGTGAGAAAACTATGCTGACGTTAATTGGTAGACTTTTTTTTTGTGAAGGATTCATAAAAAAAAAAAAATTTCTGCGAATATTTTACTATTTCGTTTTCTTTTTTCATAGAACTCAATATTTTCTGTATTTATTTCAGTAATTAAGAAGAAATTGTTTTGATTATCATTTTTTTACAGATTTTGAATAAGTTAAAACAACTTTATGTATTTACTTTTGTTTCATGGATCTTTCTGAAATATTTAAAATATTAATTAATAATATGGTCAAATGAACGATTGAGTAATGAATAAGTAAATACTTACTTATTTTAAAATTTGAAATATATATATATATATATATATATATATATATATATATATATATATATATATACTCATATGTACAGAGAAGACTATATATGTAGAAAGACAGTCTCCTTAGACATTTCACAAACCAACGGGAGAAACAAATATATAATTGGTTATTTCACTATGATAGTATTTTTGTTTCTTGTTTTTGATATTTTCTATCTGTTATCGGTATCAATAGAAATAAAATAAATAGTTTGGATTAGCAATAATGTCGGTGTTAGTTAAGTTAGACAATTGTATTTCCCATAGTTTGTGAAATGTCGAAATGCACCTTCACATGTTGGAGTTGAAATGTAGGTTATCAATAAAAACTACAGTGATTATTTAATATTTATGTAATCAATTCCTGTACATTGGTTTTAACTTATTGAAAATGCTTACCAAATCAAATTTAATTATCCAACTATTGTACACATGTAATATAAATATGAATGTTATCATGTATTTATTTGTTTGTGTGTGTATTTGTAAATACAATGTATTTCCATCTATATAACACATCTATAAATATTGTATAAACCAGATATGCATCTGGAAAAAATGGACGAATTATTACTAAAAAAATAAAAAAAACTCAGTGATATATTTCATTAAGTTTCGATTTAAATTAATGACAATTTAAAGGTATTTAAATAAGAAAACTCGATTCCAGAGAGAGTGCAGATATTTTTAGGTCCGATAAAAAAAAAACTGTCACCTAACGGTAAAAGAGAAAAAAATATCGAACTGAGAAATTCCAACTCATCCTAACTTCGAAGGAATATTATTCGATAACCTACAACTCACTTTTAAAATATTGAGAATGAAGGATAAAATAAATATTATGAAAATTTATTCTTTTCATTTATTAAACTTCAAAGATTAATAAAAAGCAATTTTCAAAAAATTGGATTGATTTTGACTTTATTTAAAATAGTTAATACATTAAATATGGAAACGTTATGTAAATAATTAAGAAGATCTGTAAAGATCAAAAATCATAATAATGAACAAATCTTAGACGTATCTACAAGTAACTAATAAATGATTAGAAATAATTTACTTTCTATTTTAAAAACAGTTTGAAGTAAAATTTTAAAAAAACATTGTATTGGTTTATTATTTTCAGGAATAAAAAGTAAAGTAATTGGTCGATTACAGCCGAGAAAAAGATTATCAAAATTCGAAGTTTTACATTTAACAACATCTAGAATCCGAAAAGTAAGATAATTTGATCACAAAATCAAGAAAAAAAGTATCCTACAAAAATATATAGTCGTTTGGCGTGATCTTCATCCCAAACAGACCAAAATAAGGAGGTTTATCTTTTTAAGCAACCAACATTATTTTCACGATTCTGTCCTCAAATTATCTTTCGATTCCAGTGGAAAATAAATTTTTATTAATAATTTTTTAGTACCTCATTAAATAGACAAGTTCACCAACCTTCAGGCTGAAAACGTCCCGAAAATTTCGTAAATAAAAAAATGTGTTTCAGCGTTTATATAAAGTGGCACTTCCGGTTAGCCGATTTTAAGGAAAAAGTTGCCGTCACAACTAAGGCATATACCTATCTTAAATACGTGATACCAGTTTCATAGGTCTTTTCGTTTTTGAGCTAGACTGCTAACATACAAACACACAGACACACAGACCATTTGTCGGGACTAGGTCATTTCGACTCAGGGTACCTCAAAACGTATAAATCCGTCGAAAACTCAGATTCAAAAATTTTCTCGATCGCAATACTTACACTTACTATATATTACATATATACGTAAGTGAAAGTAAAAAGTTGTAGGTTACAATTAAATAAAGCCATTTATGAAGTATTTAACAAGTTTTTTTTTTTTTTTCTGTTGGCATTAGAAATTGTAGATCTTTTGCCGCGTTAACAATCCTACTCTATTTCTGCTTATTCTAACTTTCCATCTGCTTTTTGGCCTTCCATTTGGTCTTTTGCCGACTACTCAGGTATTTATTGTAGTGTAGAGGCTTCCAGATGGCTCCATGCTACATACCCCCCCCCCCCCGCCATCTTAACCTCCGTGCCTTCAGATCACAGGCGGATCAACGGGGGGGGGAGGCTTTCGGGGTGAAGCCCTCCCCAAAATGGCAAAATATAACCGTGTTTTACAGAAAAAAATATTAAAAATTATCTCTTAAAGTATTCTTGTTCGTTTAATTACCAAAGCACTTAAACACCATTTCATATAGGTAGTTAATTTCTTTGTTTTTTTTTCAAATTATTTTTATGAAGATTTATGAAAAAAAAAATCTTTCGGGCTGAAGCCCCCAAAAATAAATCCTGGATCCGCTAGTGCTTCAGATCATGCGATAATGTTTGACCAGTTTCTGTAAGCAGCTCCTTATTGGTCTTTATTCTCCAGCTGTTAGTACTCTGATCTCAGAGCGCTCTGGTTATTGTACGAAGGATTCTTCTCTCAAATCTCTCAATGCTTTTTCTAGAGCACTGGTTAGTACCCAGGTATCACAGCCATTTATTAGAACCGACTTTACATTGTACACCCTAAATTTGAGATTTTTCGTGATTTCAATACCTTTGAAAGGAAGAATAAAGCTCTGTTCGGGCTTATTATACGCTGGTCTAAATTGACGAGTGTTAATAATTTGAAAAAAGGGGTATGTGTGTCACTAGGGGATTCAGGATTTCATTTTGGGGGTGGGGGGGCTTCAGCCCGAAAGCTTTTTTTTTCATAAAAATAACGATAATTAGTTTGGGGAAACAGAAAGAAACTAACTACCAATATGAAATGGTGTTTAAGTGATTCCTTAAGACCTTTTAAATCTAATTACACGAACAATAATACTTTAAGAGGTATTTTAAAATTTTTTTTTCCATAAAACATGGTTATATTTTACCATTTGGAGGGGGGGAGGCTTGATGTGTGTTAGACTATAAATTAGTATTATTTATTGACAGTCCTACTTAACTTTCTGATAGAATCGACTTTTGCTATCGATAAACCAATATTACCTGACATGTTTATATATTTGCCCGGATGACTACACTGCTGTTTACTCTTCCCATTGAGCCGGTAGGGGTCCCCCACCACTCAGCCTCTTAGCCTATTCGATGGCCCACATTGCCAGTGCCAGCATCCGACATGGCCCGGATCGTCCAGCTCTTCCTCATCGCGACTTTGACGACATCCTTCGCCTACTCCTACCTCGAACCAGTAAGCGTCTTTATCAACTTAAGCCTTATCTTAATTGTTTATTAATGTGGTACTAGTGCACATGAGTTACGCGTGGTTCAAAATCACATCGGTAATACTTGCTCATGGAATGTCGAATGTGTCCACAAGAGAACAAAGGCGACCGATCTTTTGAGTTAGTTACTAATTACTTTTCCGCCTTTCCCAACCTTAACTAGTGCCGGCCTTAGACATTCGCGAGCCTCCTCCCCCCCCTCCCTTCACGTTCAATGAAGTCATCTTCCCTTCCACTAAAAATATTAAATTTATTTCTTAAATTGTTTAATATTATGAAATATTTGAATTTTATTGCATTAAATATTTCTCTAATACAGTCAGGGGTGCCCAGAAGTGAATTTTGTCAAACTATTTAATTGACATTTTGACGTGGTCTCGAATTTTGAGGGAGGCAGATTTAAACTAGGTAGTGTTGCCCAGCAAACTCAGTTTTGGTCATGTTCTTGGTCTTGTGCAAGAGTCTCGTAACAGTCTTGCAGTTACTTATTAGTTTATTACTATAGAGATATTATTGTAATTTTTTAGATAGGAGAAACCTAACTAAGTCCGAATGAAAAATTAGAAGAGTTAAATGCAAAAGTATATTGGTTATAACAATTATTAACATATAGTAACTAACATCGTCAAGTATTAGTAACTATTTTGCCTTAATTTTTAATTAAAAAATCGCTTTTTTTAACAGTCCTGGTCTTGGTCTTGCAACAGTTAGGCGGCCTTGGTCATGGTCTTGCAAATTGCCAAAGACTAAGACCGATTTTGGGTAACACTAAAACTGGGTTAAGATTTTTGGAAATGAAAAGTTTCAAATCAGAGGACAAGAGGAAAGGATAGAACAAACCAATGGAAGTGTAATTGTATAATATCTATGATTTTTAAAATTCTTCTTTAGCTTGCACTGATTTTAATATGAGGAGAGCAATAAAATATCTTGGAAGGAGAGGGGGGAAAGTTTGTTGCGCCATTGACCTCGAGGAGGGGCACTCCTGAATGCAGTTGCTTTATTGATTATTCTAAAATTAATCATTTTAGTAGGTTTTGTAACTTTTTTTTTGTTTCTTAAAAATGGGGAGCTTCCCTTAAGATAGACCGGCGCCTCTCCAAGTATCCCTCCTTGCAGTATTTCGCGATAGAAGAGGTGAGGATGCAATCCAAATTGTTTGCGGGATCAAGGTGATGAAGGAATTCACGGCATCATCTAGGTCCTAAAATGTTTTATAGATATCTGAAAGTCAATTTCATCGTTGGAAAAATTACTTGACACGTGATGGTTGTAGGTGGAGGCAATTTGAATTGGAGATGTGGAAAAGTACATGCGATTTTGATCAAGACTGTAACGTAGGCAGATCGAGGGGGGCGCCGCGGCTTGAGGGTGCCAAGGATTGGAGATAAACATTAAAGCAAATTAATATAGAACCCGATTTAAATTTTAATTTTAAATTATCTTTGTTTTGTTCCTCCCACAATCTTTTCGCCCCTCACGGAAACTATCAAAACTATAAGCAACGACGTTGAACAAAGTCGGTAAAGAACTGGAGCTAGAAATGAATATAAATATAACAAAATATATGACTAACCATCACCTGGGTTAGCTGCAAACTGCTGAAATAGGGACGATTTTGGTGACATAAATATTGAAGGACATTTAAACTCGTAGAACAATTTAGCCAATAATTATAAAAAACATATTGAAGATCAAATTAAGACCAGGCTAAATGCTGGAAATAATAGTTATTATTCGGTTACAAAATTACTTATCCCCCATCTTTTATCCCCAAATCTAAAAATTTACATAACTTATTTTAAGAGATGAATAACGCCTTAGGGTTTTCGAAAATTAAGTATTTCTTAAAATAATGACCGAATAAGGACGAGTTAACCGCAGAATTTATACCGTTATACGATGCCGAATTGCGTGATTTGTACTCGATGAATATAACTAAGATGATAGATTTGCGGCAATCCAATCCAACAATTAAAGGTTAATATGCGCGCAGCCCACTTTTAATCTTTCTAAGAGAATACTGAAGCAAAGGTGGGAGGATTGCTTTAAGGCTGATCTTGCGGGGTTAAGTTTGGACAATAGCTGGTGGATGGAAGTATGTAGACAGCGATTGTGGTAGCAAGGGCAGCTAATCCTTTGAAATAAGAATAGCAAAGCCTTTGTTGTAATTATTCCTCTTTTTCTGTTTAAACATTGGGTAAAAGGCTATTAGCAGCATTAAGATAGAGTTTGGGGGGGAGGAGGGGAGAGGCGAGCGCCCGGTAAAAATCTCACCCACGCGACGGCCTTGATTATGATTTGAGAAAAGATCATAGAGCCTTTATATGGAATAATTTAGTGATCCTAGATCTTTGAGGATGAAAAAGTCCAGGTCAGAATTGCGATTGGGATCGGCCAGTGGGTGTGAGAATATGTTGCTAAGATGGCAGTTATTAAGTGCACACAACAATTCTCGGGAATTTGTGGGTTCTAGCTTTCCATAACTGGTGTTTAGCATTAATGTTTTATTCGAGGAAAATGTTAAAGGTAAAATAAGGTTTTAATCGGGACACCAGCTGTATGTAGGAAATTATTGAAGGGTAAGAAAACAAATGATGAAAGATGTCTTGATGGGTGATGACAGCAGTACCAACATTCGCTGTTTTAACAAAATCAGTTCGATAGATTTGAGAATCACCGGTTTACTGGTTCATCGGGCTTCCGTTATCAGCGCTATGCACGGGTGGATCTGCGGAAAGGGGGGGCTTTCGGGCTGAAGCCTCCTCCCCCTAAAATGGTAAAATATAACCATGTTTTGTGAAAAAAAAAATTAAAAATACCTATTAAAGTATTATTGTTCGTGTAATTACATTTAAAAGGACTTAAGGAATCACTTAAACATCATTTCACATAGGTAGTTAGTTTCTTTCATTTATCTACAATAGTCTACATCACATTCTCCTTCACTGCCCTGCATACAATGACTATAGACAAAAATTCCTTCAAAACTTCATCTCAGAATCTTCTGATAACCGCAACGTCGAATCCATACTGAATATCGATTGTATAGATAAATTAAATAAAGTTTACTATTATATGATGGGAGTACACAAAGTGCATACACAAAATTGTTGATCATAGCCATGTTCTATTAAGCGTTTGTTTTTAGTTTATCTTAAGATTAATATTTTGTTTATATTTATAATTTATAATTTTTTATTGTTTCTATCATAGCAACTGGTTCATATAACTATTATTATGCAGTAATCGTTTTATGTTTTTAATTTTTATTGTTATTCATATTTTGTGAAAACCATTCTAAACGTTAAATATTGTAAATTTTATTCATATTTAAATTATATTTATGTAAATTTGTAAAGCCATGTTATTGTACAATAGCCAAGCTAGGCTCTATTTGTATGGGGAACCCCCTTAAAACAAATAAAATATCTATCTATCTATCTAGTTAGTTTCTTTTTGTTTTTCCAAAATAATTATCGATATTTTTATGAAAAAAAAAGGTTTCGGGCTGAAGCCCCCTCCCCCAAAATTAAATCCTGGATCCGCTAGTGGCGCTATGTAAATATGTTTATCGTTCATAAAGGTTCGTTCGTATGTGTTTGAAAACTGTTCTTATTTCAGAGAAGAAGAAAAGGCGATTTTGATCGGGGACATTTAAGGATTTTTTGGCTTTGGGATGAGATTGGACACAATATTTGTAAGAAGTGTGAAAGGTGGAGTTATGAGGGAGCTGATCGTAGATTAGGAATGATGTGAGGAGAATGGTGAGGTCGTTTAAATCATCAAGAGGAGGAATGTAGGAGAATTGGTGACGATGGACTGTTTGTTATTAGGAGGTTGAGGTTTGAAATCATAAGGTTTTGTTCCAACCTTGCCAAATCGAACAAGCTATTACTAAGATATATTTACTTATCTAATCAAGCTTATCTAAGATATATTTACTCGTTCTTAACCGAAGGCGATAGATGGAATTTGATAAATTTATATGGGATTAACATCCTGAACAATCTCTGAAAATGTATTGAATTCGGATTAAGAGTAAAACGTGATCTTCCCGTCATATTATGGATTTGACAACAGAAATACACAAAACCAAATATTCCTTGATATCTTAAACATAAAACACAAATGGAAATTTTCCCTTTAGTAAAATTTAATTAAATACATTTCTTCCAAATACACGATCGTCTCTTCCCTGAATTCAGGAGTTAGAAGCAATAGTTAATCGAATTCTCCTTTAATTCTTTTTTTAATACTGCTACGTGATTATCCATTATTTTTTATTATTTTTTTAGAGATATGTAATATACATTAAAAATAATTAATTTTCAATGTATTACTATCTTTTTTTAATTTACAATGTAGAGAATTTTCTATAAAATTCAAGATAACTTGTTCCGTTATGCGTAAATGAATTGCTTTTCTTCGTAAATTTCTTTCCCGGTATTTACTCGGAGAAGAACCATACATGGAAAGTTACAGGACTTGAAGAGGGGAATATTTAAATCAAGTTTCACCAAAACCGTTAGAGCCGTTTTCACTATTGATAAATCGCTTGAGCTACAGATTATGAATAAAAAACGTTTTTTTCGGTTGAATTTATCATTCAACTAACCATTTTCAGGTTGTTCAATTTTTCTTTTTAATCGTATTTACTTATTTTTTGTTCACTTACTTTTTAACTTTGGTACGTTAATCTCATAAGTAATATTTAAAATTTTTCCTTATTTGCCACCTAATATTGTTTTAAATGTCTCAAAAAATCCGTAATACCTGTCATTATTTTTAACTGTTATATCTATTATGTATATTATCTTCAACTAGCTTTTCATCTCTTATACATTTAACCATCTCATCCTATTATGTTATTCATTATAACCAATTGTTTTTAGATGCCACTAAAACTACTTTGCTGGTGTCATACTCATTACATATCATCAATTAGTGATTGTAAATATTGTTATTAAATATGACTGTTAGTTTTGTTTTAGTTGGTTTGTTTTATCTGTTTATTCATTTCTATTTTTTTGTTCTTATAAGAATTTCTGTATTATTTTATTTTACTTCAAGTTACATTTATTAGTTTGTTATTACAGTTTTTGCCTTTGTTATCATTTTTTTTTATTATTATTTTGTATATATGGTATGAATGTGCCTCACTCAGCTCTAATTCTCAGTGCCATTAAGTGTGTCAAAATCTCTTATTTCTTAATAAAAATATTTTAAACACTAAGCACAAACACAAACACAAAATATAGTTCTAATTATTTATCCCTGAGATTTATGTCAAGTAAATAAAATGAATATTTGAACATTTTCAAGTTTAGATTAAAATATTAAATTATTCCAATTTCTCATATATTTTAACGAAAAACAGCACAATAAGCTGAATAAACTGAAGTATATGATGTAATAAACTTTCAATTAAAAATTTAATCAACCACATTTCTGATTCACTTTGCACCAAGAGGTGATCCACTTTACACTATCTTGTGACAAAGCGAGATAAAAGGATTTTGAAAATTAACAGAAAAGAATATTGCATTAAGATAATAAACATGAACCATGATGACAGACCATGGTAAAACGTCGCACACTACTCCTTATTAACTGTATTAACTAATTCATTGTGGTTATACAAAGTGTGTCCCGTAAGTAGAGGGAAATATTTAAAAGATTTATAGTACGCATAAATCTACAATAAGTTTATACAAACATTGGTCCGATTTTCGGCAGAAAAGTGGGAAATTGAAGTTTTGTGTTTTGTTTTTTTAAGTAAGTCATGTTTTTGATGAATAGGAAACAATAACTAAAGAAATATTTAATTCAAGTAATTAACAATTGCTTCACTGTAAACTATAAAATATCTTCTATATAAATAAAATAAAGATTTTGTCTGTACATTGAATAAAATCAACCCGTTTTATGATATTTTTCCGTTTCATACATTGCAGACACTAAATCCACTTTTAAAAAAATGTTTGTCTGTCTGTATGTCCGCATTGCAACGAAATTTTGTCAGAGGTAAGCTCAGCAATGGCTTATTGTAGACTTTTGAATTTTTTACATTACATTTAGGTTTTGCTTGACTTAAAACATAGGCTTTAAACGAAAACAAAGTATTGAGTAGAACCAAAGTTATGAATGCTTGAGTAATTTGTCTAGAGTTCCCGGTTAGGCAGTTATTTATTTCGATTCTCATCCCAACCTACTCTACTGCGAGCCACATTTAAAAGTTGTACTACTCAACTGATGGAAAAAAATTATCACAACTCAACAGGGAAAATCCGGAGTACTGAACATCTGTAACGCGTTGGCGCATAAAACGGGTAAAACAAACTCATTTTTCAACTTTGTCCGATCTTCCCGATCAAGGTGTCATTCAATTCAACTTCCCAAGCCTAACGAATGTTGTCGTATACATTTTTAGGTTTAACCAAACGGATTAGCCGGAAATCAGGGGGGAAAAAAAACTCCAACAATTTCACCCCGCCCCTCACGATATTCAGATCAAGTTCTAATTTTACACGGATGTAGATGACTCAAGTTCCAATGTTATTTTGGTTATTTTGCCAGCTATAAACTCAGCAGAGTTTAAAGAAGTAGAGAAACTACAATTCTCTTTGATTAATTCATCGACTCCACAATCTCCTTGCTTCATCATTAATGAGAATTAAACACTTAAATTTTAATGGATCGGTGGTGATCGGTTTAGTTGTGTGGTACCTATACAAATAGCCGAATAACAAAGTTTTTGTTATGACTATTGCGAAACGTTGACTTCCTTAAGCCCCGCCATAAAAAAATTCAAAACAACCCCCCTCTCCCATCCCTACCCAATTTTATGAAATTGAATTTGGACCCTCCTCCCCCCATAATACAAAATCCATCTCAAAAAAAGATTCTCAAATTTTAACTATACACCCGTCAACGACGGGTACATCAGTTAGTTTACTATAATTTTACATATTGTTAAAAATATTTGAAGTGGACTTTTGAGCGGTTGAACTAAGCTAAGTTCTATTCTTAAAAAAATAATAAATTATTCGCAATTTTTTTTATCGTTCTCCAGCTATACTACAGATACTCCACTTTTATAAAAACTTCCTCGTTCAATAAGCTTTAAGTCCATATTAATTAAGTTGAAGTTTATTAGGAGAATTTTTGAGATTCTCCTCAAGTAGTGTAAAGAAATTATGTGATTTCCTATAATCATCTAAACGTGCCCTTGTTTTCTGCAAAAATGATTACAATTAACTGTTACAAAGCTTTTATTTCTGTTTTTTTTTTTCCCTGATATGTGATGTATTTTAATAAACATAATTGCCTAAATACACCTTTTATTTATGAAAATATAAACATTTAAAAATAATAATTTTTCGCGTAAAGTCATTATGAAATTCTGTTTTTCTCCCAGATCGCCGTCATAGTAGTATTTGTCATTGACAAACTTAATGTTTGTTACTAAAATTTACGTTTAAAATAAAGAAACCTACTTATTGCTTCTTTTTTCATGAAAACGTGAATATTAGTACTAGAAAAATTAAGTTTGTCGCTTAAAATATAAATAATATGAGAGAAATCTGAGTTAAAAAAACAATTTCATAAACATACATGAAAAATCATTATTTTTTAATTTTTTATTTTTAGAAATAAAATGTGTTTTTAGGCAGTTATGTAGGTTATCATACATACCATAACCCAGAAACAAAATAAATAAATGCTTTGCAATAGTTGATTGAAGTAATTTTTGCAGAAAACAGGGGTACTTTAAGGTGACTGGGTAGGAAATCACCTCATTTTTTTACACACTTAAGGTGAATCTCAATTTTTTTCTTGATAAACCTCAACTTAATTAATATTGACTCAAAGCTTATTAAACGAGGAAGTTTTCATTCAACCATGTAGTGCAGTTGAAGGGTGGTAAAAAAAAATCACAAATACTTTATGTCTTTTTTTAATTGGAACTTAGCTGTCCATATATGTTTATTGAATTAAGGAGGTTTATTTTTTTTTAAATATTGGAAATATTTTATTATTTATATTTAAAAAATTGGAGTATAACGGTATTGTTCACCAGCTGTATATAGATTTTAAAAAGGCTTACGATTCTATTGACCACCAGAAACTATATAATATTCTAATGGATCAGGGGATTCCAAAAAAACTAGTAAATCTAGTCAGGATGTGCTTGACGGAGACACTCAATAAAGTTAGAATCGGTAATAATTTGTTCGAAAAAGTTGAGGTTCGTTCGGGTTTAAAACAGGGGGATTTCCTTTCGCCTGTCCTGTTCAATTTGATATTAGAACATCCCATTAGGGAGGTAATGCGTACCGAGAAAGGGTTGGATCTGGGCGGGACAACGTCCGTGCTGGGCTATGCTGATGATCTGGTACTGTTAAGCGAAGACGTGGAAACTATAAAACTAAATACGACAACGTTAATGAAAGCCGGTAAAGAACTAGGACTCGAAATAAACGTGGATAAAACAAAATATATGGTTAGCAGAAAAAATGGCGATACTACTGGTGATATCGATATAGATGGTAATATGTTTGAACAGGTAGAGAAATTTAAGTATCTAGGTTCTACGATAACTAGAAAAAACGAAATTGAAGAAGAGATTAAGGTTAGACTGAAGGCGGGAAATGCTTGTTATTTTTCTGTGACAAAACTACTTACTACCGCCTCTTGTCCCGGAACTTAAAAATTAGAATCTATAAAACAATTATCTTGCCTACAGTTCTTTATGGATGGGAAATTTACATTAAGAGATGAGCAGCGTCTTAAGGTTTTTGAAAATAAAGCATTGCGTAGAATATTCGGACCGAAGAAGGATGAGTTAACCGGAGAGTTCAGACGGTTACACAACGCCGAATTGCGTGAGCTGTATCCAGGTAATATAATTGAGGTAATTTCATCGCGGCGAATCAAATGGGCTTGTAAAGTTTTTGGGCTTAGTAACGAGAGAATTCCTTAAAGGTTAATATTTGCTGTGCCGAATGGTAAGCGTCCGAGGGGTAGACCGAAGCGAAGGTGGGAAGATTGCATTAAAGCAATCTTCCCACCTTCTTAATTATTTTTTTTTTTTTTTATTCTTGAGGTGCGCTATCACTCTCATATTCTCCTCTACTTGCGGGACAGTCTATTATATATTCGTTTCTATGCATAATAGGAGTATATAAGAGGAACCATACCATATATTTGCCTATGTGTATTTATTTAATATATTTAGTTTCATTTTTATATTTCAGATTCCAATAACGGTGTACTACGAAAGTTTATGCTCTGACTCAATCAGATTTATTCTTAAAAAGCTAGCTACCACATATAACCAAAAGGATTACGATTTTGCTAGCCTGTTATCCAAATTGACACTAGTGCCTTACGGTAATGTCAAAGTAGTAAGTATTATATTTTATCCAATATTAATTCATTAAATCATAATCAAAGGATGCAGTTAAAAAAAACATCAGGATCTCTTTAAAATTAAACTTGTTGATTTGTTGAATCGATTGTATTCAATTGGTAAATATTCTATTTATCTAGTAATATATTTTTTTTTCTTCTTTCTGGGAAGTTGTATGATATTCTTAGTTATTTGGCAATGATTACTTCCAATTAGAAACAATTGAATATATTTCTTGTATTATCAAAATTGCATGTTTACAAGTTTACGTTTCGGGATATTTACTCCCATCTTCAGAACCACAATCCCAATGATCTTGTGGATACAAGGCTAAAAAAATTTTTGAGTAAAAATATAGTGCATGTTACAATACATGACAGAATATTTCTGGAAAAATGAAGTGAAGAATTTCAGAAAACGAGAAATATGATAATTCATTGCGATGGAGTAGAAATAAATGAAAAAATACTTTAATGGAGTTGATATATGAGATTTTGATAAAATAATTCATTAATTGTTTTATTTCCATTAGTTTATTTATTGTGAAATTTTGCTGTAAATATATTTTTTTTCATTAATTGAGCTAAAATATAAAGATTTTTTGCAGTTTTAAAGCTAAAATAATTTTCTAAGCTATATTTTTAATATTGAAAATGCTGTTTATTTTTCGGCCACCTATTTACCTATTCATTGATTTAATTTTTTTTTTAAACATATTTATTGAAAAATATTACGCTCTGTCACAATAAAGGACATTTATAATAAGCACATTCACACTCTATTTACAATAAATAATACAAACAAAAGAACTAAAGTAATCAAAATAACAACTTAAACACGTGCATACTTTTATACAAATTTATAGAATCCTTTCACTCTGGAAAACTCTGAGCCAAGCCTTTCTCGTGGAAGGAAAGGCAAGACTCTAGGAGATCCCAGCGCCCTCCTAATCACCTAATAACAGCGGCTGTTGATTTTTAAAAACCGGCCAAATTGATTTTTAAAAACTAATATTCTATACTCTTTCAACAAGAAATGTTCTTTTAAATTTAATAACATTTAATACTATATAAAAAAATGTCAAAAAAAAAACATTTTTAGCAAAGATATTGTAAACTGTATATTTACGCATGTTTTGGTTTATTATTATCTAGGTAATTGTATCTGTTGTATTACCTTCACTGATATATGTACTGTGTGAACTATTCGCACCTGCCAATTATTAATTCTGTATTTTAATAGATAGATAAGTTCAAAATGTATGTGCAATATAACAAGTCTGTATTACAAGTTACGTATGCTGTGCGATAGTAGCAACCCAATTTAATTGGGCAGTATTGTTTACTAATGAGTCATTTATTTCCAAACTGGACCTTAATCATTATTAATTTTTCAAGTACCGTAAAAATGTATACTTCCTATTCCAATTATAATAGTTATGGAAACTAATACTTTTTTTTTATAAATAAACTTATTTTTATATTTAAAGAAATTACTTATTTTTGGAACATACTTCAGAAAATCACTGATTATTTCAGTAGTAATAAAAATATATTGAAACATGAATAGGGTCCCTTTTGGATAGAAATAAACTTCACGACCCGTTTTTAAACAAAACAAGAAGGTTGATTGTGGTTTGTTTTGGAGAGAAAAGATGGTGTATAAATCTTATAAAAATTTTATAAATAATGGTACAATGAAATCAATTCATTTTCATTTTCATTGGGATATGACGGTTAAAAAATCTTTCGATGATTTTTTTTTAAGAATGTTAAAGAAATACTAGTTTCATTACATTCCTTGAATGAAAAATGCAGTTGTGGAAATAAAGTTATAAACTTTTTTTAATATTGCTTCCTCACTACCGAAGGTAGGGAAGCATTGTGTTCGTGCGAGAGATTAAAAATTTTTTTTTGCTCAGAATTGAAAATTTCCACTCGCGTTTTACGTTTCAGACATCAAGGATCAAATTTGGTTCGGTGTCTGTCTGTCTGTCTGTAGTCGAATCGATGTGACGGGCATATCACCTAGTACCGTTCATCCAATTTTCAGGGATTATGCTGATTGGTGCCTAGATGGTCCCATATCAATTTTATCAAATTCCATCCAGCACTTCTGCTTATGCACGCGTAAACATATATTTTTAGATATGCCAATATTTCAGAAAGGGCTCGTTCGATAAGTTAGATAAAATGTAGACTTTGGTGAAAAAATAGCGTAGTGTCAATTTTTTTAGATTCGTTTTTGAAAAAAATATTTGCGCTATAGGATTCATTATATGTTTTTACAACGATACTTATTTCAATTTCTATAAACGTCGATTAGGATTCAATGGAAATAAGCGTCTCAAATAAAACATCTCTCTGATGCTACAACCTTCCATCTATTGAAAAAGATTGGTACTATTTATCATTGTTAATTAATTATTAAGACATAAATAAAGATTTAGCTACTAAAACAATAACTAAATAACATAAGAATAATTTTTTTTTTTTGTTTTAAGATTAGCGCTGATAACTACCAATACCAATGCCAACACGGGCCACCGGAATGTGAGGGTAATAAGTTACACGGATGCGCCGTGAAATATTTCACGGACAAAAGTAAATTACTGAATTATATTGGCTGCTTAATGGAGAAGAGCATCAAAGTAATACTCTCGAGGGCACCTTTCCCGGTCGGTGAGGTAAGATTTCATCAACACTTGATTACGGCAACATTGTGTGGTATTTTTTCTAATAGGTGTATTGCTTTGATTCATCATAATAGTGATCAATAAGTTATTTATTTCAGTGTCAAAATGAAATCCCGGTGGAAATCCGCTCAAAGATAGCGCAGTGTTACAACACCAATGAAGGATGGGACCAATTTAATCTAAATGGATATTACTCCAATATGGCCTTTGGAAGAAATCGACATTTTATTCCGTTAATTACTTTTCGTAATGTAAGTATTGTTTTGTTTTCATTATACATGCATATTAGAATTCTGAGACATTTAGTCTCCTAAGAATAATTATAATGAACAGAAAAGTAGCATTTGTCTGGAATTAGAAGAAAATTGAGATATAATTAAGTAATATATTTCTAAAAATCTAACCCTAAAATTAAAGTAACTAAGCACAAATAAATATATTAAATTGTAGATGAGGAATGTATATGAGTGTGTTCACATATTTGTACTGCTAAGTAATATAGATAATATATAGCTTAAATAATATTTTGTTGAGAAAAAAAATACATTTTGCCTCAATTAAGGGCATTGAGTATTTAGGATGAATGAAACACAATCATACCATATATACAATAAAAGAAAAACAAGATTATAACAAAATAAAATAAAATAAAACTTGATACAACATTAAATAAATAAATTTTAAAAAAATAATAAATAAAAACACGTTCATACTTATTTACAATATTTACAGTCAGCCGAGGGAACTCCGAGTCTGGCTTTCTCTCCCCCCTACACAGGGGTCTTCCACACGGAAGACAAGGCAAGACTCTAAGAGATCCCAGCACTTCTCTCTCAGCCGCATCACTAGGATGGAAATCCAGTGGAGACTGAGAGAGGGCACTAAAGCCACATACGCTCATGACTTCAGTGGAGAAGCTGGCCATTACCAGGACTCCAACGACGTCTTTACAAAAGATCTCGAGGCCACTGCCGCTTCAACCTTCGAGGAGGATTGTAGGGATGACTGGAACTGGATAAGAATTGTGCTGAGGGATTAGGATAATAGGTTAGGTTCTGATGGAAATTTGAAAATCGGGATGGAATAACATCAAGGACATAAGGGATGTTAAGGTCATGATGTAAGGTTTTGTTCTTACATAATAAATAATAAGGAGCATTGACTATTATACGGAGGACTTTAGACTGGAAGGATTGGATGCGTTTGATGTTCTAAAATTTAGTTGTCCCTCACAGTTCAAGTCCGCAGGTTCAGATGGGTTTCAGTATGGCCTTGATGATGTTTTCAATTGAGAGGTTAGATAATATATAAGTATCTGTAACATAACAGTAAAATGAAAGTGACAGCTCTTAAATACGAAAATCTTATTCTTACATGTATTATTCGGAAGATTGGTTATTGAGGAAGTGGCAGAATAAATCTTGTTTGAATAAGATAAAGGAAGAGCTTTTGCGAATGGAGTTAGATAAGGAATTCCAAATGAAAGTAGCACGCACGAAAAAGATTTTTTTAAAGGAAACAGTTCTATCAGAGGGAATAAACGGATTTGTAGTCTGGGATCTCATGTTAAATGGACAGAGGAATAAGGAGATTCTCTCCAGTCTATCCTCAAGAACCAACGAAAGGCCGCCGTATACCATAATGAAATGTTGACTAGAATGATAAAATAGTTTAAGTACAATATCACTTATATGCTGACGATACCCAAATCTACATATCCTGCCGGGATTTGAAGGCTACAAGACATAGATAATATCAACGCATGGGTAGCTAACAATGATCTGAGGCTGAACATTGAGAAGACCAAAGCCATTCTCATTGGGTCTAAGCATCTTCTTAATTTCCTTTCTTATTATCCCCTTTTCTATCTTAATGGTCAATCTATTCGCTTCCACACTTCCCTTACAAACCTGGAGATAATATCTGTTCAACGCTTGTTCTGGAATCATCGTGTTTCCCAAATCATCTGAAAATCTATCGTTATCCTTAAACAGTTTCTGAGATTCCGTGATTCAATCCCTTTTAAAATCCGTCAGCTTCTGGTTTCCTATCTAATTTTTCCCTACTTCCATTATGGCTGCCTTGTATACGGTGGAATGTCTAATGGATTTGAGGGTAGACTGAAACGGCTAATGAATTGTTTCATTAAATTCATCTGCTGAGTCCCTTGGCGCTCCTATGTCTAGTCTGTATACCGAGTTGAAGTGGTATATCCAGTTTCTCGACGGCAGTTTTTCCTAGGTTTATTCCTTTTTTTAATATTTACAACCAGAAAAACTTCATACCTTCTTGACTTATTCACTCCTAGTTCCACTGTCCATTCTCTCAACACGAGATCCCAGCCCACAAACTTGTATATTCCTTCTCGTGAGAGAGTTTATTATGAATTTGTGGAATTCCTTACCCACTACCATACGCAAAACCTCATCATTAACTTCATTTAAAAACCAATTGTCTCTTCATCTCCTCAGTCATCAGTCTTCCGAATATTTATAAGAATTAAATATGTCACCAATATGATTCTAATGTTAACTCAAAAATATTATTTATATTTATAGTGCAAATATGTAAACACATAGATATCAATTCACCCATAATCTCTTCGAATTATACATAAATTCAGAAGTAGCACTTTATTTTAATTTTAATGTTACACAACTTTGTAACCTAATTATTATTTGTTAACCATTTCGACTATATTTTGAAAGTCCTGGAGATGCCTGGTTTTCGTTTGTCACATATCCAAGTGAAATAGGTGATAACTAAGAGAGTTTATTAGTACCGAAAGTGGTTAGAATTCCAGGATAGTTGTAAAATTAATCTAGATACTGCAGATATCGCTGACCGCGAGGGAAATTGACTGTTGTTAAACATTGTGTAGAGGACTTATAAAAACAAAATAATCTTCAAAAATGTCTCCATTCGAGTTTTTCTATTTATGCAGGACTATGTTCAGTGGGCACAGTTTCATCCTATCTTAATGATAGTTTTGACATTATGACTATAGTGACTGTTCTCCGGAAGAATCATTTGATTTATTAAAGGCTTCTAACTGGAAAGCCTTAAGCAACTATGTACAGCAGGCCACATTGCAAAGATCTCAAATCGGTCAGTTAGTAAACTATTGGTACAATATCGTGTTTATTTATTGTAACGATTGTTTTATTGTTTTATTGTATTTGATTGTTATTATTATTGTTGTTGAAATCAAATTTCTTATTTATGTGGTATTAATGTTTGGTTTTTGAAAACTCCATTCAATAAATCAAATATGTAATAAATCAAACAGTGAAGGAAGAAATTGCTAGAATAGATGTAAAAAATATATAATGATACTGTAGATATATTATTACTCACTTATTTTAGTTATAAATGTAATGAATATTTATTATTAATTACTCACAGACCTCGACAGATGGAATTCATTGTCAATGTGCTGTTGCTTGTATATATATATATATATATATATATATATATATATATATATATATATTACTTTGTATTTTATTTTAAGTATAATAAACACGTTTTTATTCATTCTAATTATTATTTGTCAGCCATCATGTGCCAGACAAATCTATATTATAATGTAATCAACATTTTACATGTTTGTAATTCTGAGGGGACGAAAAGTCCCAGAATAAAATTTACTTTCTTCTTCTGATATCAAAGATCATTTAATTTCACTTTGATTTAACAAGTTTGATCAAAATCGTTCTCGAGAAAGTGTAAAATTGATACTATAAAGTGTCACTTTAACAACAAAACTTTAGTATGCTAGGATGTGTTATACTTATTTTAAAATACGCAATTTTAGTATCTGTTCCGTCTGACTTTTAGTTATTAAGCAGGATGGTTCACACCCACAAGATTTTGCGAGACTCGACAATATTTGGATTCGGGGATTTATCCGTTAAAAACTAGGATTCGAAACTTTGTCAAACCATGATATTTTTTTTCACATGCAACCTCATCTTGTTTTCCGTTAAAATCTTATTTTCGATACATATGTTTGTTCTGCTGTTTTGGAAATGACTAACGTGTTTTTTTCCATCAATGCTTTATTGTGTGACTGGAATTATTGTTTTCATTTTATTTAATTATTAACATTTTGTTTATATATCATATCTAGTAATTCCATAATATAATATATTAGTTTAATAATTCCCACTTTTATTCTTAGGTTACAGATGAAAATATCTCTAAGTGGGCCTTCACAGACTTCAGGCGTACACTTTGTTTACAGTACGGTCTGACGAATCCTGCTTGTACCGATGGCTGAAACTAGCACTTACAAGTTACTGGTTGAAATGTATCGATTGTATTGATATGTTTCTGACGCCAATTGATTCTATCTGACAATCACAATTAAGAAAAATTAAAAAAGATATATATTTTTTTAATACGCTTATACAAATTATTAGAATTATTATTGAGTATTATGTCTATTTATATTGTTATTAAATATATAATTACCTCGTTTACTTATTTAAAGAAAAACTTTTTTATTATTTTTTTAAACTTTATATTTAATTTTAAATCATACCAATACCTTACCCAGAACATCCATCAAATGTAACAATAACATAGTTTCCAACAGTGCCAAATTTTACGAAACGTTGATTTGAACATTTGAAAGATGATTGAAACAAAAATAAGTACAACTTAACTCTCAATGATTTTTCAATGAAGTTGAATTTATAATTATTAAGAGATCCAGGCTTGAAGACTCAGGAAAGACAATATTTATGTTTTTTTATTTGAGTTAGAAATAGAAATAGAAATAGAAAATAACTTTATTCTGGGACAAAGTCCCTTTAGAATAACAAATAGAACATAATTAAAACACTACATCTGGCCAAAATAAAACAATAATAAAAAAGAGAAAGTAAAGAAAATATTAGTTAAACAAGCTATATACAAAAAAAAAAAAATCTATATACAAAACACTTAAAACTATGATAAAACACTTAAGACTATGTACAGTAGGAAAAATTATAATTATACTCTTTTGAAAAATAAAATAATAAAAAATACATTGAGTTCTTCTTTAAAATGAGGTGTGTTTCTGCTAACAAAGAAAAAACAAAGCTGACAATATAAAATATCAGTGTCTTTAAATAATGATTAATATGTATACTCATCATTGTCAAATGCTAGAGGTACAGATTTAATTATATAAAAATAAAAAATAATAATAAAAATAAAAATAAAAAAAACAAACAATAGATGCGGTCAGTGGCATTAAGAGCCGGAAAATATTGTAATATCCCTAGTGAAGTTCACAGTATAGAATAGCACTATCGTTTGATGATGACTAGAAATGTATAATATCGTAAGTTTAACAAGTATCTGACTGTTTTTGGGATAGGAATTGGAATAGGAGGGATTTGAATGTGGATATGGAGGGGGAATGCCGAATTTTGATAGGTAGAGAATTCCAGAAATTGACAGCGCGAGCTATAAAGGAATTCTGAAATGAGGCAGATCTGTGCGAAGGGATGTAGAGGTCAGAAGGTCGAGATCTTGTTGAAAGGACTTGAATTGGAGAAGGTTGTAGGCGTAAGAAGGACGATGGTTGTTAATGATTTGATAGAGGGACGTACCTAGGAAATATTGTCTTCTAAAGGAGGGGAAGAGCCACCTTAACTCAGTGTAGTGGTGAGAGACAACCACGTTATGTTATGATTTCAGTATGGTAAGTTATGGTTGTAGATTTATAAAGAATGGATAGCTGCAGTTCTTTGTTGGGATTGGAACTCCCTGAAACAATGCCGCTTTTCGTTGTGTGTATTTATTTTTATTTTAGCAAACATATTTAGTTATTTATAAATATATACAAAGTCGGCTAAAATATTTAATAAAACCTTTAAAAAAACTTAAATTTCAAGATTTTGTATTATATATTATTTTTAATAAATGTTACATGATCAAATAACCATTTTATTAAAAACAATCTCAGAAATTTGTGTGAGATTGATTTTATTTATTAGTACAGGATTTTTGAGCCCGCAGAACCAAGGAGCACTTTGTAGTTTATATCAATAGATACTGCTACAATTAATTGATATATAACAGAATTGCTATTTTTTTCTCCCTAATCTTATATTTTCAACTAGGCGGGTTTTTTTCCGACCAGGGGAGAGTAGAGGGCGGGATATTAATACTAGAGTTAAAAGCTTCCGGCACACAGTGGGGTCGATCTCCGATCCTGGAGGACAAAAACCCAAAATATGAGAAATGTAATATATCATCCTTTTTATAGGTAGTTGGTGACCTAAAAAGTGGTGCAGCAAAATTTCAAAGTTCGTTTAAACTCCCACAGTAAAGTACGAAAGAGGGAGATTTGGGTGAACAGACCTTCAGTTCCAGCATAACTTTATTTATAGTTCAAATCAGAGCCTGTGTGCGTTATTGCTTACGATTGCTTTTGATAATTCTGTTAATTATCTTTCTTTTTAACTGGATTAATTTAGGTTACAATATCATTTAAAAAATGGATTTCTTAAATTATTTGAAATACATAAATAACGTAAGTCTATTAAATACCCTTTTCGGTATCCCGCCGCTACAATTTTTTTTTTTCTTCATTTATAAAGTTGTACCATAATAACAAAGTAAACATTGTATTATTTTCATATTTTTTCTCTCAGCTCCTTCTATGATATCTAAATTCGCTCAAAATCCATTTTGGCCGTTAGACTTATATTTAAAAAAAGGACAGGGTTTTTGAAATTGAAGTTTCTTTAGCATGTAATAAACCTTTGCATGAACAGTAAATATAGTACATGCAAGAAGTAGTGTGTATATTTTTATTATTACGCTGCTAAATGTGCTAAAAGTCTCGTTTTATGTCAATTATTTTGATTTATAATTAACAACTTTCTGTCATTAGGTAGTGTAATGACAGATAAAAATGTAAAAAAAATTAACATTATTTTAGTTTTCATTTTGATTCGATACCTACAAAATTACTAGAGTTAAAGACTCTTTCTCGAAAAATGGTCGAAAAGGAAATTCAAAATGACCGCCAAGAAAAAAGTGTGTGTTTTATAAAAAATTTTAACCATAGTTTTGAACTTAGCATTAATAGAGAATAACTTGAGTAATTATAAAAATCAAAAATGTAGAACAACACGGTCTGGATCATTTCAAATTCATTGACCATTGTACTCGTATTTCTTTCTTCTTTTTTTTTATCATAACCTTCACTTACGTATATATGTAATATATAGTAAGTGTAACTATTGCGATCGAGAAAATTTTTGAATATGAGTTTTCAACGGAAATAGACGTTCTGAGGTACCCTGAATCGAAATGACCAAGTCCCGAAAAATGGTCTGTGTGTTTGTATGTTAGTAGTCTAGCTCAAAAACTAAAAGACCTACGAAACTGATATTACGTATTTAAGATAGGTATATGCCTTAGATGTGACGGCAACGTTTTTCTTAAAATCGGCTAACCGGAAGTGCAACTTTATATCAACGCTGAAACACATTTTCACAATTTTCTCAAAAACGGCTCTAACGATTTTGATTAAACTCGGTGTATCATTGTATAATTAAGTGGTCTTTAATATCAATTAGGTCTTATCCCCATTGATGTCACTTTACAGGGCTTAAATGCCCAATGTTCATATACGTCTTCCTCTAAAGTACCTTAAATATGATTAATTTTAAAAAGTTAATCATTTCACATTATTCAAAGTAATGAAAAAATGCTAAATATAACTTTTGAAAGAATTTGATAAGTTAATAAAGGAGAAAAAAAATGCAGAAAAACCTGCTTTGCTATAGACTGTAGCGCCTAAACGGATGTGCCGATTTCAATGAAACTTCGCTTATGTCATTTTCTCGACACCCTTTAAATTTATCTATATAACATACTCCAACGAAAAGAAGCTGGAAAAAAGTTACGAGCGATGGTAAAATTAAATTCCGAATAACTCAAAAAGTATACACTTTTTTGGGAATGTTGTATATGTTTTTTTTTAAGTTTATGGAGTTTAAAAAACAAAAAAAAATCGTTAAGTTCGGACAACTAGGAGGAAAGATATGGTCTATAGTTTTTTTCCCTGAAGAGGCGAAAATTTGGATAAATTTAAAATATACTATTTTAATTGTTGAGACTAAAAAAACTTTTTTTCTACAGATATTCAATAAAGTATCTTTCCTAAGACTGGGTCTGGACGGCGAACGGTGGAGGGAGGTGTGTAATAAGCGATTGGTGGTGTCGGCATCGAACCTTCGGGTTCGCTAAGCCTTTTATTATTATATATATATATATATATATATATATATATATATATTATATATATATATATATATATATATATATATATATATATATACAAACATATCACATATTTTTAAATGAAAGTTTTTAGTAAAAATAAATACACACAGACTCAAATTATAAATTAATAATTGTTTCAATAAAACATTTCGCCATACACAGTTAAATGCCAAAAATAATTACAATGAATTCGAATCCAATTTATTTGCCGATGTTAAAACTCGAAAAAACTGATAATTATTTCTAAAGCTAAAATAAGCCTTTCTAAAATGGATGGAGTAAAATTTCTAGGAATTAATTTACAGCTGTTCGACCTTAGAATTATAACATTTATTTTTAAACAGTGTTTTTTTAACGTTTAGGTTTTATCCTTTATTCAAGAATGTTCGCGCAGCAATAGATGATACGAAACAACTCATCAGATTGAGTTAATGGTAACTACATGAGTGAATTACATGTATCAAAGATAAGTCAGAAAAACGGCGGGATCATTGCAGAAAAGAGCACCAGCAAGTGGTACAGGTCGCCTGATTGCCGCCAGTATTTCATCTGTTAATTTGGTCGAAGGTTAGTCTTCTACATTGTATAGGTAATACTTTAAATAAATTAGTAACTAAGTTTGTAAATTGGTAATACTATACTAATACTGTACTAGAAATACAGAGTGACGTCCATACTGTCAAAATGTTAATGTCTAACGTTGCATAATATATCCCATTCCGTTCGGGAGACTTTAGACCTACGATTTTTTGTCTCGCAACAGGCCTGTAAACGGGACTTTGTCTATAGACATGTCTACGTTGACAAACTGAGGCATGTCTCAGAGACCTAAATCGCTGATACATGTCTACTAATGTGGACTAAGCTTTATATTTTTAATATCAACAATTAAATATTTAGATATTGCCTATTATTTATTACTATGTACTATGTATTCTTATTTTACCAAAAATAGTAATATCACCTATCACCTATACCAAAAATATTAGTATAGTATTACCTATGTACAATGTGTATGTCAGAAAACAAAACAAAATAAATTTCTATGAACTACAATCGAAAACTAGAAATTAAAAAAAATCAATTAAATAGCTTTAAATAAAAGGATGGAAGTAAATCAATATTCAATTAATTTACTAAAAATATTAACATAATTAATAAACTACTTCTAGTCCAGTCTACGAAGAGGCTATAAATAGCAG